CTCTTTCCTGTTGATGGCTTAGTCAATGTTTTTTAGTATGTGGAGGTTCTCTAGAGTCAATGTTCTTATACTAGAATTATTAATTTATCTTATTTTAGAATTTATTTTGGTGAATCAATTATTTGGAATGATTTCGATTACTCTGGAATACCCACTTGATAGCAAATGCTTGAAATGCATATAGAAGAAAATAGAAAATATTCTTTGCTACTCAAGTTGATATTACGAGTTCATTAAGTAATTAATAAATTATAATTATTAGTAATTAAATGTAGATATTAACTTCGAATATAATGACTTTAAATTTTTTTTAATTTTTGTCAGACTATTTCTCCATATTTGCTACTGGCTTGACTTTGCATATTGATTATTATGTACCTTTTGCTCAAAAAGTACTCGGATTTTGTAAATAAAACACACAAATTTAAATTTTATTCCGAATTTATTTTATCTCCTTCAAAATATGCTCTTTCTGAAGCGATACACATATGCCAACGCTTAACCCAATCTTCCATACACTTTTCTTAGACCCGTGAAGGTATGGCTTTTAGTTCCTTCGGCGAATTCTCTTTTACCGATACAATTGACTCAAAACGCTTACCACGAAGGGGCAATTCGAGTTTCGAAAACAGCAAAAAGTCGCACGGATCCAGATCTGACGAATATGGTGTCTGAGCGATGACAGTATTGTTGACAGCCGTGTTTGGTCAAAAAATCGCGTACAACAAGAATTTTCCATAGTAAAAATCGCTAAATGCACTTGAGGCAGTCTCTTAAGGTAACAGCTGCTGTAAACAAACTAATTGACAGGTGGCGCTCAAATTTATACCATATGTCAAGAAAGGGTGTACCAACATAACAATTGAAAATAATTTTTGAAAAAGGTATATTACTTAAGGAGTAGTTCACAAACAACAAAATCCCAGCAGATTTTGAGCAGAAGGTATAGTATAAAAATCCATCCTAATTTATTGGTTCAGGCCTTATTTGTGCATATTCGAATTTCTTCTTCTTAGAATAGTTGAAATCCTTTTTTGAGTATCTTGGTTAACTTCAGAATATCCCTCTAAAAAGTATATAGAGCTTTGTCAAAGGTTTAAAGTGGTTTTTGAACCTTTGAGTTTCTTATACGGTAACACAATAGATCAGTAGGATCGCTGGTATTAAACAATTTTGAACTATATACTGATTTGATTGGAGTTTGTATAATATAGATGGGGTCCTTTTGTAAATGCTATGCAAAGATGAAGTAAGCTTGTTCTGATAACCTGCATACTCGTAAATATTAGGATTTTGGTTTCAGAGTTTGGAGTTTTTGATTGTATGCAACCTTCTTTCATTTTACATACCCAATCCATAAAATTTTTTTTTCAAAGCTAATCGAAGATGTTAAAATGAGGTGAAAACTAATGTAACGGAAAACACAATTAATCGAGTTTTGATTAAAAATTTGCATAAATATTTCGTTTCATAACAGACGGTCTGACGAAAAACTAAAAAGACTGTAAAGTAAGGTGTTAAGAATATCTCGAAAGAATCTATCAACTATGTTAGTGACGATATATTTCAATATGTTCCGAGAATCATATTCGTGCAATATTTTTCTCAGTAACTTTACATCAGTGGCATTTATTTTTTCATTTTTATTAGGCATACTATATTTATGTGAGTATATATTCACATATTCTTTTTTTTTATTTTTATTATTTAATAATTTTTTTTTTTATTATTTATTAAACAATATATCTGCATTGCAATGTGTAGTCTGCCCATATGATTTGCAGAATTGTTCGTTGTCTTTAAAGGCATGGAGTTGATAATATCTGATTGTCCGGGTTGCGATCTATATATATGCATATATACAGATGTACATATGTTAGATTTCAACGTCATATTGGACTATTGAGGAACATAGTTACTGATGACAAAATCTAGGTTGAGAAGTTTATTAACATTATTCAATTAACAAAACAAAGCAAATATTATCAGTTAGGAATAGTTGCAAAAAAAAAATTAATGCAATGTTATGTCTGACCACATGATTTCCAGAGTTGTCTGTTGCATTAAAAGATGACAACATCTGTTTGTCCGGATTGCGGTTTATTCGTTGATGTCTGACATATGTGCATCTATATATGTGCAGCACATATGGTATATATATATGTATACCTGAGAGTACGTAAACTGGCATCAACCAAAGTACTGAAAAGAAAATCGCACCTAGCAGGCAACTACTTAAGACACTAATATTTTCGGTTGTACTGAATGAATAGCTCAACAAATTCCCATTTCTTATAATTAATTTACGTCTAACCATGCTTAAATTAAAAGCAGTGTCCCGAAATGCAAATTTTCAGAGGTAAGTGATCTACTTATGAGTGTCAGAAAGGTTTATTCCCGGTGCAAAATGTACAATAAACATATTGTATCCATACCTTTACTTTTGTCATATTTTTTTGAAATCAAAAAGTATTATTTACATGTTTAGTATATATTTCAACACACATGTAAATTGTTTCGAATGCACCTGTGTATATCATTTTCATTGGGTAAGAAATGCTTCAAATATCAAGAATTTAACATTATCAACAGAAATTGTTAGGGACGAAAAAAATGGTGCTATATTCGTATAAAGGAAAAATGGCGCTAATGTACTTTCAACGTGCTGTATAAATATTTAAGTCAAAATAACATGAGAAATATAACATTTGCGTTCCATTACTGAAAAATGTTAAGCTTCACAGAGCATATATTTGTAGATGGATGTATGAGGAACTTTTAGGCATCTAAACCACGTTAGAGAGCATTGAATCAAGTAAAGCGGAGCACTACGCCACATATATGTATGGCTCTGCATTTGTATTTTTAGTATAATATAAATAAATAAAGAGGATAATAATGAAAAAAATAATAAAAATAATAAAAGCGCATAACGATATGTATTTGTAGCAATGTGAATGGCTTTATTCTGTGATATAGATTAGGAAACATCTCATTCTCTTATGCTGAGGGCACAAGTACTCCTACATTGAAGTTGCAACATATGTGTTGCTTTGACTGTTGTTGGCATTGTGAAAAGTATTTTGAAAAGTTTATATATGTACATACACATCTATTTACATATATACGTGAGAAGTTGTATGAGTTCGTTTTGATGACGTGGCATTAGCTTCATCAAGCGTGGAACAGATGATAATAATATTATTATGCGGCGAAAGCACATAGTCACTATTTCACACCCCAATAGACTTTACCATAAATAAATACACACATACCAACGAGGCGACAGACCCGCTTATGTGTGCACACAATCAAAAACTTTCCCTCAAACCAAATGAATGTTTACAAACACTCCCACTTATGAACTGAACATCGTACGATGTCTGTTTGTATGTCGCTCACATTTGGATTGCACTAGCTAACAATTCTTTATTAATAAACAAATGAAAGCAAGCAGTGTGCAGAAGGATAAACACTTGACGGAACTGCTATGTATCTGAGTATAAATGCGGATGGCCCTCGAACAGCACGAGGAATGAAGTGCATTTGCTATCATTTGAAAAATGTCAAATTTATATTTCGCAAAGTAAATAAGCATTAATAGAGTTTTAAATCTTTCTCTCAGGGTTATTAAGTACTTTCGCTAGTTCCAAGCAATTTCGAAGTGCAGAATTTTTGACACAAAAAGTTTAAAACTTGTTGGTATTTATTGATCATTATTTGTCACGATACTGATTCTATGTAAAAGTATACAGAATTAATATATAAAACACAAAAAATCACTTAAAATTAATTTTGTTCTCTTTAAAGTAGACTTCAGACTTCAATGAATGGATTGCAACTATGCTAAGGCAAAACCCAATCATCAATACATTTGCCGCAGATTGATTGAAGTATGATCTTCAGTTCCTTTGATAAATAATTTTGTATGACTACAATCGATTTTAAACGTCTTCTACTAAATAAAAGTTTCAGATTAAGGAACAGAAAAAACTCACAACGTATTTAGGCAGTCACATTATTTAAGTGTTTTATTAAAAACTTTGAGTATATCATCACAGAACACTCAAAGGTATAATGACAAAACCCGCCATTTTATCTTCGGGAACAGAAAAAATTCAGAACTTTCCAGAGTAATCACGTTATTTAAGCTTCTGTCAAAAAGTCTAACTTAATGTCATTACAAAACACACAAAGGTATAATTTTATTAATTTTAATTAAATAAAATAGTAAAATTAGTCACTTTTACCTTCAGGAACATATTAATTTGAGACGGAGTAATGTCAAGTAAGTCAATACTTGACCACACACATTAGTTGAGTTTCTTGTCAAAAACTGTGTCTGTGCCATCGGAGAACACTCAAAAGTATAATTGTAAAATTTGCCAATGAAAATTTGCTGATTAGTATAAATCGCATAAATCGCTTATTATTATGCAGTACAATCTTTGAACAACATGCTGTTTTAATGTAAACTGTCGATATACCGGAAACACTCATATAGTGAAACATCATTTTGACCACCACCTAACAGACTAGATTATGTACACATAACACATTTTTATTTTATTGCTTTATACATTTTAGATGTCCACATCCGGATGTATGAGACTCACTTTTTAACATATAAGATATTTATAATTTTTAATTTATTAGATATTGTATGGTCAGATTTCAATAAATTAATCGAGTTTTTGTTGTTGCTTCTTCATTACTGTTTGAACCCTTCTAGTTTATTTTCGTCATTAGAAGCGTTATATTTGACCAATAAATTCGATAAATTTATTTATGTTTTCTAAACAAAATTAATTAATTGCTGATATGTTTCTTCCGATATTAATTTGGGGGAATACATTTAATTTTGCTTGGAAGATGATCTTCGTAGTAATACTATTCATAAACTCACGAACAACAAAATTTTTCTTACCGAAACATATATGAATATATGAAAATGTCGATTAACCTGACTCATTAGAAATGTTTTTTTGAATGTCTCGATAATTTTATTAATTAAAAAACGAATGTTAACTAAAATCAATGAACTCACTTATATATGTAACATGTTAAAAATTAAAGTAATTATAAATGATTTGAATAATACACATTATAATTTGGAATTATTGTGACATACATGATCATGTTAAAAATGTCATTAATCGTATATTACAAATCTTTCACTAGTTCTCTAATAATGTATGAAGCGTTAGTCTGGCCATGAGATTCACAAATACGAACAATTTCAGCTAATGGGTCTTCCTCAAAACTACTTAGAACATTGTGCGCATCATCGTTAGTTAAGGCCCAATTTAAGTCCGAACCATACCCGCTTCTTAGCAACTGCTTATATTGCTGACTTAACAATAACGTGTCTGCATGAATTGCAGCACGGCGGTTATAGTAATTTTCAAAATCAATAGTTGCATTTTGTCCAGAAAAGTTTAGGTACTGCATTGTCTTAGTCAATTCTGCAAATTCCCGATTTTTTTCATCAATTAGGTTATTTAACTGCTGTAATGCATCCCTCTTTGACTCAATTTTTAAATTACGCTCTTCCACAGAATTCATCCAGTTTTTCAAGGCATTTGCAAAAGATTTTGTAGACTCAGCTAATAGAAGAAAATTGAAAATCATATTAGGATTTACCAATTACTTACGCGTTTATCTATACTAACGATTGAGGTTCGAGTACTGGGTAATAACATTTCTCAACATATTTTCGATAAAATTGTCGGAGTTCTGTGGGCTATCTTTAAAAAAAAAAGAGCTAAGTATATTATGTGTTAAAGCAATAATATTTTCAAATATATGGCAAGACTGTTGGTACAGAAAAAATTTGGACTTACATTTACATAAATTATTTTAAACGAACCAATAAAAAGGAAATATATCCACAACTAATTATTGTACGTAACTATATATATTTATATTACTTAATACCTGCGACTTTGGCATGGTTCACTTCGGTTTGAATGTTTGGTTCGACAATGGCAAAAGGTGTTGAATCAATAACGGTTTCTATAAGCGATTTTCCTGAGTTGAGTGGATCTCTTTTTATTCTTTTTGGTACAGGCGATGGTATTCTCTCTACATTATTAGCACGAGTTTGCTTTATATTTTGACATGATATAGCAGCAGCGCCTGCTTTTCTCATTATAGCAACATTCTGAAGATTCTTCGATTCTGGAAAAGTGCACTTTGTGTTCCTTAGTTCATTAGTTTCAGCTAAAGTCTTGTGCAATTTTGTGAGCGAGTATGCTTCAGCTTCATCTACATTGGCCAATGTCCCAGTGTCCTTCGAGTACTGTTCTTGAGTTGTTTGATTTCTAAGCTTGGACAGAATTAGAAACTTCGCTATTGCACCAGTATTAGCAGTTGTTGAGTTTAGTTCTGTATTTGTCAGAGAGTTCACCAGGCCTTCGGTTTGTGGTTTAATTGTTACAGAATTTTTGATATTAGCACTAAGAATATCAGACTTTAGCTCACTAGCCTTATGTTTTGAAGCGGAATTCACACCTAAGTCTAATGGTATCTTTTTGATGGCTCCATTTTTAGAGACCTTAGCTTGAATTATAAGATTATTAAATTTATCTGCTAAAGTTGGTGTTAAATTATTAACTGCTCTACAAACGTTCTGAGTAGTGCTTATAACTGCAGTAGAAGGCGCAGTCGTTGCCACCTTCCTTATATCATTTTTGACGAACTTATCGATTATTGATGAACCATTTGGTTTAAAATCGTTAACACTATTAATTGTGTTTTGTGTTTTGGTAATAATCGAATTTGTTGATAATTTTTTTCGTATCAGAATTTGTTTAGGATGTTGCTCTATAGATATTGATGAATTTGGGGCTCTTGGGGCAGCAGCAATATTTGTACTGTATTGTGTTGCCATTTCATTTGGGCCGCTTGTCAATTGCTCCTTATTCTTAGCAGATTTGTCCAATATTATTGCATACTTATTCTTACTAACAGCAACACTTGGTGTTATGCTTTTAATAGTGCCAGTGAAACATGCATTTGTTCTTGCTAAATACTTACCTAACAAGATTGGAGTGTTTGGTCCGGAATCATGCACTGCTTTCACTACATGGTTTGGATTAATTGTACGAAATGAACCAGCGGGTTTATTTGGAGATGGGTTTGAAGAATCAACATCTGCCCAATATGGTTTAGTTACTTGAATAAATGATTCCAATGAAATTGGAGTTCGTAACTGATCATCTTTATTATTATTGATAACATCATGGACGTTTCCGCTTGTAAGCTGGTTTATTGACTTTTTTGTATTATGTGGCCGACGAGCGGTTAATATAGTTCCTCTTGGATGATTGTATGTTGTGGTAGGGAAAATACGCTTTCTATTTTGTTGAAAACCGGCATTCCTAGATGAAACTGAATTTCTTGAATTTGGTCGAATTTTTGCTTTAGGTAATAGTACGCAACCTACAGGAATAAGACCGCGATTACTAGTTCGTGAAAAATCCATTTTTCCAATTTCAAAATAAATATTTTAAAATTTGGGCGCTAAAAATTTTATTGCTGTATCTACAATAAAATTTTATAATGAAAATATAAGCTTCAACTTAAAGTAATAAAAACAAGTGAAACGCAAATATTCACTAAAACCAAAATAAAATGAATTAAAAAAATATTAAATGTATGGAAAAAAGAAAAATTTATCCCGTCTACTTGATAAAAATTAAAATATTCTACTTTAGTAAGTAAAAAGTAAGTAACTGAATGCGGTATAAAATAATATAAACCAAATTATATAAGCAGAAGAGATTTTAATTAACCTGTTTAGAAAACGGCAAACCCATATTCTTAGAGATGTGGTGCAGCTTTAAACCTCAGTAAAAATATTATAAAACTTTAACTCTGTTTTCTTCCTACACAACAATAGTCTTAACCCGCTGTTTCCAAGATGGGCAGCAAAATCTTTGCATTCGTTTTAGATATTTTGCACCATTTTCAATGATGGTGACTAATGGTATAATGATGAACACTCCATTATGTTTCGACAAAAAGTGTGTTTTTTTCTAATGGGTCTTAATTATAGATTTATTAATTAATTATTAATTTTTAAGCCAAACTTAGCAAAACCGTCAATTAACGCGCTAAAAATTCACAAGGTAGCCGCCGGCATGAAGACATGGCGAAGAACCGTGGAGCAGAAGCTTAAAGATACACAGTACTCCTGGAACAAATTACCGACAGACGCAGGTAGCAGAGTAAGATTTAGAGGAATCATTGAGGCCTTATGCTCGACTAGGATACAAGGACAGCAGTAAGTAAGTAAGTAAAGTTGATAGCTGATATTTATAGAGTTATTTTATGAATAATACAAAACAAAAAATCCAGTGAAATAAATGAATATTTAGAGAGGTAATTTTGAGCTGTAGTGAATTACAACAACAAAATTTTATTATTGATCAATTATTGAAATTTCTGGCTCTTTCGATTATTGCCAAATATCCATCACCAGTAGTCTGTTGAAAATAGTTTCTTTTCATTATGACAAAAGAAATGATCATGATCATTATGGTTTCTTTCATCAGAATTGATCTTGAAAATTAAATCTCAGAATGGTTACAGGCTACTCGGGTAGGTATGCAGATCTGAGGTTAATTATTTCTTAGTCTGATAAAATGATAAACAATAATTTAGGTAAGGCGTAAAGAGGGATTTTGAAAATACCTCCAGTTAAGAAAGAGTAAAAGTGCTCAAGTGCACTGGCTCAAATAGCTTCAACACAAAATGGATTCTTACTCTCCTTAGTGAAAGATACTATTCAAATATATGTAACCGATATTTTAGAAAATTTTTTTAAAGAGATTTTTTCGAATAGTAGTGAACTACAACAACAAAAATTTTTTTTATATTATTTTAATTAATTGAATTCTTAGCTCACCATATAGCTGTTTCGAGTAGTACCAAATACCCATCATCAGTGGTTTTGGAAATAATTCTTGTATTTATTTATTCGTAAATAATTTTTTGAGACTGCAAGCACCAGAAATCGAGCTTGTGTCCTGCCAAATTTAAAGCTCAGAGCCAGCGCACCTTAACCAACTGATCCAAAGGAAATTTTTTTTTCTTATTTCAATACTAAAAATTGTTTTATTGTTGAGTAGATTAATGTTTGTAATTTTATACTTCACGGACTATACATATCTATAAACCAACATTTTTTCCATATCTGTGAATTAAATCCAGAGAAGTTTTAAATAAATGTTCATTTACTTCATCTTTAAGTATCCGAAGTAACTTCGTGACTTGAGTCAAATATCAATTCTAAAGGACTTTCTGCTGATGTGTAAATAACTTTAAAATAATAAATTTTGCTGCCGCAGGAGAATCCAATTTAATCACTCCTCAAAATATGAATGACATTAGCAATACTTAATAACTTTTCCGAGCTATATACCATAGCAATGTACTCGCTACTGGCTCTTTCCCTTCCCCCCTCCCCACCAAATAAGTAGGGGCTTTTGTTCATTTTCGTATATCACTGAATTTGAATACAAAGCCTTTAATATTATAATAGCATTAGAAATTCAGTACAAAATTTTCACAATTTATATTTAATTTTATCAAAATGAATACAATATTTCATTCACTTAAAATTTAATACATAAAATCCAATTTTTGACTGTTAACTTTAATATGAGCAAAAAGTTGTTCAGTTATTATTATGTATATTCCAGTCATAGTTTGTGCGTTGGCGGCCACCGTAATGCTGGCATTATATGAAAACCTGTAGCAATGGAATTGGGGAATATCTGTGCGAGCATTCCGCAGCACGACCGCAAAAGGCATTATATTGAGGTCACATCTTTTATAATTCATTCTTTCATAATTTCGCTAAATCTTTTGCCATTCATAAAAGTAATTTAAATAAGCTGCCGTTTAAAGTTTTGCACTTCTTGCTTTAACAGGCGCCCTTCCTGCTGCTCCCACTTTTTAGTGTGCTTATCCTTTCTAGTGGTTATGAGTTAAGTCACTTCGTACTCCTCGCAGTTATCCCAAAAATGAAACTGTAAATGGAAATGCTAATACCATGTGACAGTTGGCAGGGCAAGAAAATTATTCTCGCTCAAAACTTATGTTTACACGGAAAAGGAAATGGTTATACAAACAGTCTGCAAAATGTAAAAGCAAAATATGAATGTGTCAAGATGTAATTATCTTTCACAGCTTCGCACAGTGGCTTAAATTGAGTTGTCACATAGCATTTGATATGTATGTATTGCCTAATTAACAATCTACAGATGTGAAACATATCAACAAAGAGAGCAATTGTTCTGCCTTGTGTAAATATTACTTAAATCAAGTAAATATTCATATTTACTTTAATTATAATTGTTCAGTATTAAGTCGAGCAGGATAATAAATTATAATTACAGTATACTAGGAAAAATGATTGCTTTTTTAGATTGCATGGAGTTGTGGAAGCATTCTAAGAATAGAAGACAAACAAACAATTCGTTAAAGATTTTATTATTTAAAAAAACATTTACTTACAGAGTGTATCCTTTGATATACATATGTACCTATATTATACCAAGTTACTTGGTACGCAAAATAAAAAAAAAATACCTGAGAGTGGATTGAATATTAATGGAAATTGAAGTGCTGAAAGAACTTCTAATCGCAAACTAGTTTCATTTATAAATGTGTAAACATCTTAAAAAGAATTTAACCGAAAATCACCTAATATATGTTTTATTTGCTATTTAACGTCTATGTAATTTGTAATAATTATTTAAGCATGATTAATTAATGAATTAAGTTTATTTAGTTCTTGCAAAAAGTGTCACGTATTTTACAATCATCTAGATCATCCTAACCTTAAAGATCCGCCCAACATTAAATTAACTAATTAATTTTCAAATCCTCCAATAATTATAAATATAACTAATAAAAAAATTATAATAGAAGTATGACTGGTAACAATGATATTCATCATCTTCAATCAAAGCTCTAGGATATCCAAATTCAACTCGAATTAAAACTGTTGATAAAACTCAAATTATTCCAACCCATGCACCATCATACCATTAGGTGTGATTAACAATATTTACTTACTTACAACCCGTTACCGAAGTTCAATCTGACACAGAATGTCTCTCCAGGCCCCTCTGCTGCATGCGTGCCTTCTCCAATCTCGTACATCAAGTCCAGTTATTGTTTCTTCAATTTCATCACTCCACCTGAGATATGGTCTACCTTTTCCGCTGGAGCATCTTTATTCATTCTGATGACATGTCCAAGCCAGCGAAGCCACTGGATGTTAATACACTGAATTATATCAATGTAGTGATATAACTCGTAGTTCATTCATATACGGTAGTCGTCGCGAATTCATAGAGGACCAAAAACTCTACGAAAAAATTTTCTCTCAGTCACTAGTGTAAACAGTAATAACATAACTCAAATGCCCTCCATTGAACATCTTAAAGTACTAAATACTTTTAATGTAATTATCAGTGACTTGTCACATAGCTGGTAATGGAAGATTGCTTACATGAGCACAATCCTTTGCGCTATGTTCACTATGCTTGGTAAACGTTTTTTAAAATAAATATAGGTATATATAAATTATTTAACTGTTTAAAAGAGATATCAAACATTGTCTTAAAGGTCATTATTATTAGTCTATCCCTAAAAAGATGAACGAAATCCAACATAAGTTGTTGGTGCTCGAAGGTCACTTATTTTTTCGTAAAACCTGGTCATGTGGCAACAACAAGTGTACCATTGCAGGAACGTAAAACGCTCAATTTCGAATGATAGGAGTATACAGTCCTATATCGAATGATATAGGAGTATTATGTGTTTGCCGGAAGCTTGCAGTGAAATACGGAAGACAAACAAGTGCCGTCAATGCACTGCTCACACATCTCGCAGTCGTCTAGCAACCGACTATTTGAATCGACTATTCAGCCGTACAGTCGTGATTTGGCACCCAGTGACTTCTTCTTGTTCTCGAACGTCAAGAATAAATTGTGTGGTAAACGATTTTTGTCGGCGGAAGAAGCAGAAGCCGATTTTGCATTTAAAAACCGTTGTTGCACGTTTTTGAAGTGTCTGAAGAAGATTGGAAAATATGCTGCGACAGTTAGTTCGCACGAGGAATACTTTGAGAAATAAGAAAGCAATTTTCAAAGGCAAGTTAGAATCTTTTCATTATTAGGTTCAAAATATAAATAGTGCTCCTCGTATATTAGAACGAATTTACAAACCAGCTGTGAATAATTAAATTCATTAATTAACATTTTTAATTGTTAAATATCAAAACTGTTCTTTTGTAGAGGCATTATTTCTATAGGTTAATGTAATTATAAAATATTCTCTTCCTATGAATAGCAAAAAAAAAAACTTACAGAATAGCTTTTTGTGATTTGTTTTATTCAAGATACAATTCAATTTAAGAATCCGGAGCAATAAATTATTGTGTTTGTTCTCGATTTCTGATGAATTATAAATTGTTGTTGCCACCTGTTCATAATCAAAAGTTTAATCAAATCAAATTAACAATAAGAAA